TTTATGGAAGGTTTAACTGTTAGATCAGTTTGTTGTAAAAACTATTGTTTATGGAAGGTTTAACACTTAGACCAGGTTCTCATATAAAGATTAAAATGTTTTAACTTTGAATCTTAGCGGTAAAATATTTCATCAAGAAACCATAAGAACTTAATGCAATGTTTTACTTGTTGCAGTATCAGTAAGGGAGAACAGGGTGGTTTATTGTATGTGCTAGATTTTAACCAGGTTGTTGCCAAATTACTGTATATGCACATTGAAAGGAGATCGTTTGTAAATTTTACGTATAAAACTGTCTCAGTCTAACGGGTATACTCTTGGTTTACTTCTGGATTCATCATGGTTGATCAATATATCACAGCATTACTTATGACATGTAAATTTTACGTATAAAACTGTCTCAGTCTAACGGGTATACTCTTGGTTTACTTCTGGATTCATCATGGTTGATCAATATATCACAGCATTACTTATGACATGTAAATTTTACGTATAAAACTGTCTCAGTCTAACGGGTATACTCTTGGTTTACTTCTGGATTCATCATGGTTGATCAATATATCACAGCATAACTTATGACAGGATTTTATAATAGCACTAAGCATCAGGTAAATAGCTAAAGCTATGGAACAACACTAGTTATATACAGGCAACAGTTCTATTCCTTGATAATTTCAAATAAAACCCACTTTTTTGTTGAATATTTATAACTTTTATTCCAAGAAGAACATATAGACGTGTTTGTACAATCATGTTGAAGGGGCTTGTGTTACATAACATTTTCTGTATGAGAAAATATATATACATACATATATTGATCAACATGTTTTTGTGTTGTTTTTTTTTCTGAAAATAAAACAAACTTTCCAGAAAAGATATGTTTATTGAGATATTTGATTCCTATTATATATATATCATCTACCTTATATAATAAATATCTGACATTGCGTTATTTAACTCTATGATATACATATTCTTCCATGCTGCTATTTAAAGTGGGTATTCTTACCTAGAAGCTATTAGGGTGCTTGAGAATACCACAGAGAAGTGTAATAAAGTTGAAAGCTCAATATTTGTTGTTGTTTTTTTATTTATTGTGTGTTTTTCCACTTTCCTTTATACTCTTGTTGTACAAATATGGTTGTAGTTCACTATGATGACAATTTGAAAATGAATAACTTATGCACGAGCGGAGGAGTTGGTTACCAAAAGTGGGTTATAATCCAAGAGGATGACACACACTAGGAGTTTGCTCCTGGATATTACCGTTGATTCAAAGGACAGTGTTTCTAATCATGATCCATGAACTTGTTTATGATCAGATTTGATGTACCTAAGACGTGGATAACTGAAAGTTTAAATGGTGACTTGCATTTTGGAGGTCCCGAGATCAAGCGGGAAGATCTCTGACTAGTGGAACAATCCTAGAATTACTCTCTGTCATCCGTGACCAGGAGGAGATTTGGTGAATGAATTCTGTCAGTTGTAGCTGTTGTACTATCAAGAAAAAGTGGAAGAGGTAACATCCCATGAAGTGGATGAAAGCGTCTGATGCTTTGACGAAGGAAATTTACAACTGAAACAACAAGTGTTTTTTACAGTAGAAACAACATGTGGTTTTGTAGAACTTGAGGTATAAGAACAGGAACCAACACAAGTTTGTACCCAAAATGTTATAAGTATTTCCTTTGCATTTTATCTGAGGTATCACCAGAGACATTTTTCTTTCACAACTGCAGGTGTATGATGTTTCTTCTGAATGTGAAATAGAACATGTAGACTTCTTTCTACAGGTAGTACAATGCCTGTTGCTGAGTCTGAGTGAACCAATATTTGACTCGTTTGAGCATATGGATGGTGGATAACCAAACTATCTATTGGGTTAAGTTCAAGGCTTGAAAGAGGTAGACCTGTGAGAACTTTGTGAATAATGTACAGTAGAAGGTATATCCCACTGATGTACAATGGAAGGTATATCCCACTGATGTACAGTGGAAGATATATCCCACTGATGTACGATGGAAGGTATATCCCACTGATGTACGATGGAAGATATATCCCACTGATGTACAGTGGAAGGTATATCCCACTGATGTACAGTGGAAGGTATATCCCACTGATGTACGATGGAAGGTATATCCCACTGATGTACGATGGAAGGTATATCCCACTGATGTACAATGGAAGGTATATCCCACTGATGTACAGTGGAAGGTATATCCCACTGATGTACAATGGAAGGTATATCCCACTGATGTACAATGGAAGGTATATCCCACTGATGTACAGTGGAAGGTATATCCCACTGATGTACAATGGAAGGTATATCCCACTGATGTACGATGAAAGGTATATCTCTTTGTGTTATAGATTATTTGGATATTTCAAATGAAGTTTTCCATATCTCATTCCCATACAAGATAGGAGACATGTAGAGTTCTGCCCAACCTTAAAGCAGATGCAGGTTAGATAAAGGGAAGTAATGGTTGATTCTGCTCCATTGAACTAGCAGAGCCCTGGTCGAGTTTGGCCAACAACTTGGATAGCACAAAGGTCAACTTGCGTCTGAAGATTGGTTGACAAACCATCTTAAACAGAGCTGGATGGAACTTGTAAATCTCAGTAAAAGTTTACAGAAGCAAAGTTCTTAACTGATACAAGGGCCACCAGAACCTTGCTTGGCCTTACTATATATAAAGCACTTTGCGTGAAACTACAACCTTGGACAGTCAACTCAAACTATGTTTATCTCAGTTTTATCACTTAAAGAACAAAGGTAGTTGACATCTATATTGATTGAGACACTGGTATTTTAAAGATCCACCCACTATAATTGAGACACTGGTATTTTAAAGATCCACCCACTATAATTGAGACACTGGTATTTTAAAGATCCACCTGCTGTAATTAAGACACTGGTATTTTAAAGATCCACCCACAATAATTGAGACACTGGTATTTTAAAGATTCACCTACTATAATTGAGACATTGATATTTTAAAGATCCACCCACTATAATTGAGACACTGGTATTTTAAAGATCCACCTGCTGTAATTGAGACACTGATATTTTAAAGATCCACCCACTATAACAATCCTCAGTCGGTTTTAGTTGTGAAATACAGGTCTTTGGGAAATTGCCCATAGTTGACCTGATCAGGCCCAATAACAATGGACTGCATGGGTAAATATATTCAAGTCTAATACAACTTTGTTGAAAGGCATTATTGTGATTGTGTTTTTCTCCTGAAGTTAATGATATTTTGTATGAATATATATTAGAGTTTAATTACACATCTGAGGTATTGGGCTGGGTCTGGCTTAGTGGCTAGTATACCCAAGGATCCATTACTCATGTCCTGTTGCAGCAAAATTGTGCTCTGTACTATGGTGTCATGGTTATATTATAAGAGTGACAGTGGATGCTGTTGACTAGGGATGGTCAGAACAGTTAGGCCTTGTGTAGGTTTGCACAAATATCTGAAGTTAACAAACGGTCTTTGGTATTGTACAATATTGTTATAGACATTAATTGATCATTGTTAAACTATGTTTTTTATTATGTATTGTATTAATCTTTGTTAAATAGTCGTGCTTTACTGTGTTGTGTAAATAGTGTTGTGAAGCTCGTTTGTTAGAAACAAGGCATACTTTAAGACAAAATTAGTCCGTGGGCTTGATATTTTTTACATACCATTGTTTTTAGAGTTTGAATAGCCAAGTCGGTTCATGAAGGCAAGAGGAATAAATGAAACATACCAGGAATTCCTTTTCGTTTTAATTTCGAAACATAGACATTTTTTCATACTTACTTCTGGTGAGCATATTGGATTTAACATGCAGGGTATTAATCTCACGACCTTATTATTGAGCTAGTAACACATTGTAAAACGTCATTAACTTATTTGATATTGCTGAATTTTCCCATGGAAAGTGTCACTGGAAATTCCTTAGATATGCAAGTGTGTAACATTAATCATACAGAGGTTAAGAAACAACTGGAAGCAATGCGCGCTCTATTTTTACGTGGGTTGCTAATGCCATCTTGAAGAATTGACTTTTTTGCTATGTGTATAATGTATTTATCAATCCAACCACACTCAGATTCATTTTCTCGATATTAAGATGGATATTTTCACAAAAAGATAAGTACAGTGTTTTCGTTCAGTGGATACACACCTGCTCTATTGTGTTTGTATGTGTATAATAAAACATTGCTTTTAAAGCGCCACCTTTTGTTCAATGTCTTCTTTCAATTGTCAGGTATGAAATTCAGATTTAAACCGTTATACGCATTCAATCCTCTAGTTACGGATAACTACCGTTACCCAGAGGTTATCGGTGTAGGTTTAAATGAGTATTGAATGTGTATTACGGGGGTTATAGATAACTACCGTTACCCAGAGGTTATCGGTGTAGATTTAAACCGTAATGCACATTCAATCCGTCTAGTTATAGATAACTACCGTTACCCAGAGGTTATCGGTGTAGATTTAAACCGTAATGCACGTTCAATACTCTAGTTATAGATAACTACCGTTACCCAGAGGCTATCGCTGTAGGTTTAAACCATAATACACATTCAAGTACTCTAGTTATAGATAACTACCGTTACCCAGAGGTTATCGGTGTAGATCTAAACCGTAATACACATTCAATCCTCTAGTTATAGATAACTACCGTTACCCAGAGGTTATCGGTGTAGATTTAAACCGTAATGCACGTTCAATACTCTAGTTATAGATAACTACCGTTACCCAGAGGTTATCGGTGTAGGTTTAAACCGTAATACACATTCAATCCTCTAGTTACGGATAACTACCGTTACCCAGAGGTTATCGGTGTAGATTTAAACCGTAATACACATTCAATCCTCTAGTT